AGGGAGGAGTTGGAAGCATCCCCGTGTTCTGGGGTCTAAAACCATCAAATTCACTCTTGCAAACCAAACATCATCTAAAAAGGCTCTCATTAATCTGTCAGGAGCCCCTGTGAGAGCAGCTCTGGGCAGACTGTCACGGCTCCCAGTCACTGCAGGATTCATCAGCCCCCACTGGGCACAGGGACAGTTTGGATACACGCTCCACACGGGATGTGAGCCAGCAGCCAGCCCTGTCAGCAGGGTCCTGCTGCCCTCCCTGCACACCCCAGCACACATAGACCCCCAAAACCCACCACGGAGCACGAGCCAAGAGCGGGGACCTGCCCACGCAGGGAGGGAGGGAGGGAGGCGAGGGAAAAAAATACCTGGGAGGTTTTAACCTGCTCCCACCTGCCTGCTGTGCAAAGCAGTGTTTACAATCTGGGGAGATTAGAGAGCCTGGAGAGGGAAGGGGGGCTGCAGCAGCCCCTGGATGCCTGGGGGGAACCACAGCTCCTCCCCAGCTGTAGCAGGTCCAACACCAGCACTCGGCAAAGCCACCACACCGTCCTTGGCCAACCTTTTCCAGGCCCTGCCAGTGCCCTGCAAGGTCCTCTGGGGCTCTGTGCAGGGAGATTTCTTGTCCCCTGGGTGCCTCAGCCAGCTTTGTGCCTCCTGATGTCCTTTCTCTCCCTCTGTGCTTCACACAAAGCATTAAACAGAGCAGCTGCATCCCAGAAGGACAGTCCTGGGAGATGTGAGGCAGAGAGCGAGGCAAGCTTCGGGATCTAACCTTAGCAAGGGCCCAATCCAGGGAAAAACAGGTCCACCTTAGCAGTCCTCCCATCTACTGCTCCTCTCCCACTTAAACCACGTAACATGAAAGTGCACAAATTGATCCCCAGGAGAAAGCTCAAACCTCGCTGTGAATGGAGAAGAAAATGCTCTCAGGAGATCAAAAGTGGTGTCTAACAACTGCTGCACCCCCTCTCCCCCCCCTGCTTTTGGAGAGCTATGTTTAGCACCTCTCCTCTCCCCAGAGCAACCTGCCTGGATTTGTTCCCCACTGTGCTGTGGGGCTCAGGGGGGGGGAGATCCAGGCAGGGGAAGCCGGGCTGGGATAAGGGATAAGTGCACAGGAATGAGGCTCCACGAGCAGCCCCCATTCCTGGCTCCTGAGATGTCACCTCACTGCCACAGGGTGTGAGCAGGAAACAAGGAAGGGGAAGCCAAAAATGTGATGGAACCATGGTGACTTCACTGCTGGGCCCTCCCAGGGGGTGGGTGGCTTCACTCTGGAGGCATGGATTGCCCGGGATGCTGGAAGGGGACCACCCTGCATCACCCCCCCCGACAGGAGGTCGTCGTTCAGTGGGGCCTTAGAGGAGGAGGAGTAGGCACCGTGTAATTAAAAGTGAGCAGCTGCTCACAAAATGAGCAGCCAGGTACGAAAAAATTTCACCTTGTGCGGAGAGAGGGAGTGATTTTTTTTCTTTCCCCGTGCTGTGATGTGTGACAGACTCCCCGCCACGCTCCGACGCTCCCAATCCCTCCTCGCTCAGCAACACCCCAGCCACCCACCAGCTGGCACAGCCAGAGGGGCAGGAACGCCACCAGCACTCAGGGTTGGAGCCAGGGATGGTCGGGACCTGCCTGTCTCCCTCGGGATGCGCATCCCGAGGTGTCGGGCAGGGCGTGCAAACCCTTCCCTGCTCCCCGCGACGCTCCCACCCATGCGGGGGAGAGCAGGGGGTGGGAAAAGCACAGATACAAAAGGAAGAGAGCACTGGGGGGGGGGTCAGCAAACACGAGGGGGTGCAAAATGCACCTGTGGGCAGCCAAAAAAGAGCCGGATCTGCTGCACCTTCCCATTGCACTCCCCGGGATCGGCCCCACCACAAAGCCGGCGCTGGGAATTCATTCCGTGGCATCCAAGTTTTCTGTTGGCTTGTGGCACCAGAGAAACAGGCTGGGAGCAGCAGCCAAAGCCAGCAGGATATTCCAGCACCACGGCACACAAAGGGACCGAGATTGAAGAGCCTGGGCTTTATTTTAGGTTCTATTTTCATGCCTCTTCTCCCAGGGCAGCCAAGCCCTCCCCTCCCCATCCCCACTGAGCAGGCACAGAGCTGCCCAGAGCCACCTGGGCAAAAGTGAGACACCAAAGGCCCCCAAGGCTGTCTCCCTGTATTTTCTCCCTGTATTTTCAGCAGCAGGAGATGGTTATGGACAGCACAAATGTGTCCTGAGGTGGGACCCAGCCCCAGCCCTCAGCACACATGGAATCACGGAATGGTCTGGGTGGGAAGGGATCTTAACACCCATCTCATTCCACCCCCTGCCACGGGCAGGGACACCTTCCACCAGACCAGGCTGCTCCAACCTGGCCTTGGACAATTCCAGGGGTGGGGAGGGCATGGCAGGGAGGGGGAGGGAAGCACCTTACATGACCTGTAAGCCCAAGGCAATTCTTCCCCCAGCAGCAGGAAAAGGGTGGCAAGAAGAGAAGGATAACAAGGATCTGACTCCGACAGCCTGGCACTTCATCCTATGGATGCCCCCACCCCTGAGCAGCCAGCCCAGCTCTCAGCAGGTCTCAGAGAGGGTTTCCTGTTCTCCCTGCCCTCCCCAGAGCAAACCTGCCCAGCAATCCTGCCTCCCAACCACCGAGGGACGCTGCACACAAACAGAAAGCCAGGAACAGGGAGAGGCGAGGAGGAACCCTCCAAATCCTCCCCCACCGTTTCCTTTCCCCCCTCAGGGGACTCGGGCAAGGCAGAGCCCACCCTGCCTGCCCCCTGCCCACACCTGCCAGCCCCCTCCTGCTGCCCTGGGGGGTGGCAGCTGAGCCAACACCCGCCCCCTCTCCCGCTCCCTGCGCAGATGCTCCAGCAGGGAGGGAGGAGAGGAATTATCCAGCTTGGGCGCCCCAGGCCAGTCCCTGAGCTGGGGACAAGGCAGCAGCTTTCGTGGAGCACTGCAGCTAAGTCAGCCAGGCCTCAAGACTCTATCCAGCCTAATAATCCCCTGCCCAGGCACGGGAATGCCAGAGGCACTGGAGATTTGGGAGAAAGCAGCGAGTTAACAGCGTTAATGGCCTTGTTTCCAAACGAAGCAGAGACCACTCTATAAATCAATGTGTGGCTGACGGGTTTTCTGCTGTAGAAATTGGAATTGCAAGAGAAGGAAGAGGTAAACAGCACACAAATCAGAGAAGCACACGTGGAATAACCCGAGTTGGAAGGGACCCACAAGGATCATGGAGTCCAACGGGACACCCCAACAATCCCATCACGTGTCTGAGGGTGTTGTCCAAACACTCCTTGAGCTCTGGCAGCCTTGGGGCTGTGATCACTGCCCTGAGGAGCCTGTTCCAGTGCCTGGGGTGAAGAACCTAATCCTAACATCCAACCTAAACCTTCCCCTGGCACAGCTAATGCTAATTAGAGACACCTCCCTGCTGGCTGGCAAAGTTTGTCACCTCCAGCACCACTGGAGCACCAGGGCAGCGACAGAGACTTGACAGAAGAGATGCCCAAGGTGTAGAAAGCCACTTCCTTCAGCCAAAAACTGAGCTCTGACCTTGCCAGGACAGACAGTGGCTCTGTCCAGCTTTGCAGCACCGTTAGGAAGGGGAAAGGACCACAGCAAACCTCCCCAGCAGCAGGGTTGGCAGGCAGAAATCCCAAGCTGTGGATCCTCAGCTGGCACAGACCAGCCAGTCCCTCCAGCACAGCAAGAACCAGCCCCTTCACCCCAAGAGGGACCCTCTTCCCATGCCCCCTGTGCCCCCAAAAACACCTCCCAAAGGCCACACAAGGCATTTACCCCACACAGAGACTTGCAACGGAGGTGCCTCGTTTGGCAGCCTCCCAAGGGTGGTAGTTTTCCATCTCCTGTGGGGGACCAGGGATCTTCTGGAGTATGGCATCTGGATGGGCTGGGCTGTTAATATTTTGGAGCCCTGAGCTAGGAGTTCCACCTACGTGAGTTTTTATTTTGGCTTTAGATGTCTCCTCTGGTCCAATTATAGATTAATCACATTTTATCTCGCATCCGTTTCTCTCCCCCCCCCCGCCTCCTTCCCCGCCCCCAACCAGAGAAGGCAAGAAAAAAGCAACAAACAGGTTATTAATTGGCTGCTGTTTTCTGCTGGGCTCTTATCTCTGCACGTGAAGCTGGGGAGGCTGGGGAAGGTGGCTCAAGAGCCTGCCAGGAAAGGCAGGGCATTTTAAGCCTGATTTTTCTGAGGAAACAAAGCTCCTGTGATGACATTATCTTAGCCTGGGCTTGCCTGCCTGCATCCAACAGCCTTTAAAGCCTCTGGCTGATAACAGCCTGGCCTCAAAAAAACCCACAAAGTTCCTCCAGGTCTGTGAAATCAGAAGGTTTTAGCAAGCCCTGAGCAATGATGTGAGGTGCTGGTGAGAACACAGCTCATGAGACACCAGGAATCCATAGGGGAGAGGCAATCCACAGGCAAGGATCACAGGTCCAGGGAAAATTCAAGTCCCAGGTGCTGTCCCACCTCCTCTGCCTGGGAAGGACCCTTTCCAGCCCTTCCCCTCTTCCACCACAGCCACCCAGGAAACCCTCTGCAGGAAAAGGGTTGCTGTGCTTCCATGGAGCAACGAGGGACACCTCCCCTCATCCTGGAGGGATGATCCTGGATCCCTTCTCTGCTCTCCCTGGGAAGGACCCTTTCCAGCCCTTCTCCACTTCTACCACAGCCACCCAGGAAACCCTCTGCAGGAAAAGGGTTGCTGTGCTTCCATGGAGCAACGAGGGACATCACTCTGTCCTCTCCTCATCCCGGAGGGATGATCCCGCATCCCTCGGCAGGGGCAAGGCCATGATGCAGGACTGCTCTGGGCACAGAGAGCAGCCAGGCAGCTGCAAAAATAGATCAGTGAGTCAGGAGACACTGCTCCCCCAGCAGCTGCAGGAGGCAGGAGAGGCTCAACCTGCTCTCCAGTGCATCCCAAGGCCAGGGCCGGGCTCCAGCAGGGAGTTGTACTCACCATCCCGCGGCGTCGGCGGCGTCTGAGTGAAGTAACTGTTGGGCTTGTCTGCAAAGAAACAAAAAACAGGGGGCTGTCAGCAGGTCCCTTTGTATGCTCCCTCCTCCTCCTCCTTCTCCTCCCAGAGCTCTGTCCACAGCTTTTGGACCAGCATTTCATCCCTTCCACGTGCCCTTCACAAACGGGTTCGACTCCCAGGGACAGCTGGGAGGTCTCGCAGCGAGAAGGGAGCGGCAGGAACGGGATCCAGGAGCCCCAGCTCTCCCACTGGTATCGATGGAGCATCTCTGGCGTGGGATCTGGGAGCAGCCCTCTGTGCCTGGCAGGGCTGGGGCTTGTCTCAGCCCGTCCTGTGCCATCCCACGGGGGCTGTGATGCCAATCCTGCCGTGTCTCCCCTCACACACACCTGGGCATGGACTCACCAGGTCATGTGGGTTGAGCAGGGCCTCCAAAAAGTGAGGGAAAGGGGTAGCCTGGGGCAGCAGAAGGTGAACACTCCCATGGGCACGACTGTAGGTCCCAGAGGAAGGTGGCACAGCCTTGCCACCTGCCAGCCCTCTATGTCTGACTAAGCAGGGGGGTGAGAAAGATTCCACTCAGATCTCCACAGACCCTCCCATCCTGGGTGAGGAACACCCTAAACCCAGTGTCCAGCTGGGCTCTGCTCTCTATCAGAGATGTGCCCAGGGCAGCAAAGCCAGGCTGTGACAGAGGTGGCACCGCTCTGTCACCTGGGCCTTGCTCCTGCCAGCCTTTGTAAACGCATCCGTGTGTTTGACAGTTTTACACGGAGCTTGTTCCCAAACAACGCTCCCCTCCAGGGGAGGCGGGGGGCGGTGCATCCCAAAGCCAGGCTGGAGGATTTGCCTGCCCTCTAAAGGCTTTTCTCACAGCAGGTGTTTGGCACTTTCCAGCATCAAGGAGGTCAAAGACACGGCTGCATGATGGAATACTCCTCCACAGGCTGTGCCTAGGGAAAGATGAGCACCTGTGCAAGGATGAGGTAACAGAGCACAGCAGCAATTCGTGGATGGATCCACGCCCAAATGTGGGATCTACTCAGCCACAGCAGGGATCAGTTTAACAATCCAACCTCAGGGAAAACTCCCCCATCTTTATTCCTCAGAGCAAGAGAGCGGGGAGCCTGGGAGACACATTCCCACCTATATGTAGCGACAGGGCTCCAAGGTCCAGCTTGGAACAAGGGAGCAGCAGTCCTTGGCCAGGGCAGGACTCCCAGGAGCCCTGCCGAGATCCCCAGCTCCCAGACAGGCTGGCTGCATCCCCCCAGAGCATCCCCCACACTCGGACCTCAAGCAGCACAGCAGGACACAGTATGTTGGGGACGGGACAGGGCACACCCAGGGTGCTGGCACAGCTCAGAGCACCGAGCAGGGAGGGAGCTGGGCCGGCCCACACACACCCGCCCTCCCAGCTCCGCTCCACCCTTCGGGGCCAACATCGCGGCAGGGAAAAGTGGGGCAGAGCTGTGGAGCTGTCACCTCCCTGGATCCTCCCCAGGCAGCAGCAGGCAAGTGCTGAGCTCCCGGGTGAAGCCCAGCTGGCAGCGCTGGGAGCCCGGGCTGACCCCAGCCCTGCCTGTCCCTGCCTGTCCCTCCCCGGCCTCCCGCACGCCCGGGGGACACCTACAGTTATTGAGGAAGAGCAGCACGGCAAATCCCAGCGTGGAGGTGGCCAGGAGGATGAGGCAGATGTTGCAGGGGATCATGAAGTACCGCACCACCAAGGAGACCTTGTGCTGGTACAGCCGGTCCCGCTCCAGGGCCCCCGGCGCCATGGGGTACTGGCAGGCTGTCATGCTGGGCCACCACGCTCAGCCCACCGTCCATCCATCCACAGCACGGCAGCCACGAGGCTCACATGGATCCCTCTTCCCTCCCCTCCCCGGGCGTCTTCAGGAAAACCTAAGTTTTCCCAGAGGTTCCCATCTCGGCTCGCAGGAGGGCAGGGCGGGCTGGGGGGCACCTTCAGGGGCAGGAGTTTGTCCCCACGGCTGCCATATCCCAGAGGCACAGCCTGGGGTGAGGTCCCAGCCCGCTCCAGGGGGACGTGCAGCGCTCCCGTGCTCAGCAATCCCTCTGCCAGCCCGGAAGGTGTCAATCCACACCTGCCTGCAGAAAGCAAACAACAACCCCAGCGCTCAGAGAGCTCAAGTTCCACGGCCAAGCCCACCGGGACGGGGACGAGCTGCTGCTGGTGTGGGAACGGCACCAAGAGGCGCTGGCTCCCGGCAGCGGGGCTGGGACAGGGACGGGGGGTCAGCACGGGACCCCCCTCCTCAGGCTCGCAGCATCTGGAAAATCCATATCCTCTCGGCAGGGATGGCAGGGGGGCTGACCACCCCGGCAGCCGCCTCTCAGCTCTCAGATCCTCGCTCCAGAAACACGGAGCTTCCCCCGCTGTCCGCGCTCTCCTCCGGGACAGGTGATCCCGCGTCCAGCAGCCTCCGACCCTCCGCAGGTCCTCGGAGCCAAAAATTCCGCGGGCAGCAGCCCGAGATCCCGGGAGCAGAAGCCCAGAAGGTGCCGGCTCAGTTGTCCCACGCTCCGGCCGAAGGCAGACGCTCCCTTTCCCACGGCAAGGCTCCTCTCACGGCCGCGGCACATCCATCCCCGCTCCGCTCCGCGCTCCTCCCGGCCAGCCGGCGCTCGGCGCTCCCTCGCCGTCCCTCCTCCGCCAGCTCCCCGGCACCTTCCCAACCCTCCGGCGAGCAGCAAGGGGCCACCACAGCCCTCCTCGGCCCCCTCGGCACGGGCACCCTCCCCGGAGGGAGCCGGCTCCCCGCCTCACGCCGCTGGGACATGCCAGCCCTTCCCGGAGAGATCCCGGCTCCGCGTGGAGCCCGGCATGGAGCGGCGCTGCGGGGAGCGATGGGAGCTGCCTGGGCGGGCGGGTGAATGGGTGGGTGGGTGAACGCGTGGATGAGGGGATGGATCCCCTAATCCCGGCGGTCTCCGCCCGCCCCACGCGCGGGGAAGGGGCCGCGCAGCATCAAGACAACGGAGCGGACCCGGAGCGCCCGCCCCGCGCCCCGGAGCTTCCCCGCCCGTGTCTCCGCTCCCTCCTCCTCCTCCCCTCCCTCCGCCCCTCGGCTCGACCCCGGCAAGGGGAGGGGGGGACACACCGAGCCCCTCGGAGCGCTCGGCGGCCAACAAAGGGGAGCGGGGGCGCAGGGGCGCGGCGCAGACAAAGAGCGGGAGGCGGCGGGGGTCGCGCTGCCCCCGCTCCCCCGGGACACGCGCGTGGGCAGGGCAGGGGCGCGGCACTCCGCCCCGACGGGTCCCTCCCCTCCTGGTTGCCCTCCTCCCCCCCCCGGGGTGAATCCCGGAGGGCAGGGGGTGGAAGGGTGGGAGGGGGTGAGCCCATCTCCCCGCCCCAGCCCGCCCGCCCACTCGAGATGCTGAGAGGCGGAGAAACTGCCTCCCCAACCCCCACCCCAGCATCGCCCACCCCGGAGAGACCCCCAGGGACGGCAGAGCTACGCAAAGAGCAGGAGAACCCCTGGTTGCTGGTTTTTAGGACATCGGTTGTGGAGGGAAGGGGACAGACCCGCACGGACGGGGAGCAGGAGCAGGACCCAGCTGTAGGGACCTCTCTGGGTCCCTGCTGGCACTGCCAGAGAGCACGGGAGGGGAGAGAAGAGGTGCCAGGACACAGATACACTCCGTGCTGCTCCCTACCTGTGTGCTCCTGTGCCCTCCTCCTGCTTCCCTCGGGCAGGATGCTGCCAGCAAGGATGGGAAAGGTGGCACGAGGACAGCTGGGCTGAGAGCCAGAGGGAGGTCAGGGCCAAGAGCCCTGGAGCACCTGGAGTGAAGGTCCAACCACGAAACGAGAGCCCTGCTGCAGCCTGAGCAGTCCCTGGTGCCCACACGACAAGTCCAGGCTCCCAGGCCCTCCACTCCATCCCTGCTCTCCACTCAGGTGGAAACAGCATTCCTGGCAAAACACACAGCTCCCAGCAAACGATTTCCCTGCCCTTGGTACCCCACATTTAGGGCATCATGACCTGCCACCTCATTTCTAAGCCACCACAGTCCTTAGTAAACAGGGCTGAGCTCTTCCTCACCATGGAGGAAGACGGTAACTCTGGAGAGTCCAAAAAAAAACCCAGTAAGAGGAAGGTCCTCCAGTCACAGAGCCACCTGAACACAGCCTGAGCTGACTCTACACAGCCCTGCCATTCCAGAGCCTGGTTTATCATCCAAGCCAGGGGACAGGAGGGCTCTTGTGGTCTCCCCTGTCCCTCAGGTGCTGTGGAGGGGCTCTCTGTATCCAGCTGTGTCATGTGCAAGGCAAGGCAAGATCATCAACCCCCCGTCCTGTGCTCACAGGGCAAGATGAACACTGTGGGGATGTGGCACTGGGTAACCCCGCTGTGGTCAAACTGGGAAGTTCATTGCAGAGGAGCTGCTTCAGGTTCCTCCTGTCTCCACACGCTCAGCATGTGCCACAGCCAGCAAGGGAAGCACAGCTTCCTCCTGGCCACGGCAGCAGCCACCACACAGACCCAGGGCCTTCTCCTCTCCCACGGGGATGTCTGGGTGCTGTGGCTCCCTCCAGGCAGCTACAGGCCTGCAGGGGCTGCCCAGCAGCATTCCTGCTGCCCACTCCTCCAAAAAGCAACAACCTGAGATGGGAGAACACCCCCTGCCAGCTGCAGGTCCCCCTCCCAGCCCGGCCTCCTCCCTCCTTCCCTCACCTTGGCAATCCGCCTGGAGCCCGAGGGACACAAACACTAAAGAATCCACCCACCCTCCCCTCCCACGGGGAGATGTGGAGGAGACTGGGTGGTCCTTCCGTGGGGCACCTCAGGCACCACAAGCCAGCAGGTCCTGGGGTCTCTGTGTGGAGTTGGCACAGGTGGCCCCACAGCCACCCCACAGAGCCACGCTGCTCCTCTCTCTCCTTGCCTGGGGGCATCCTGGGTGTCCCAGCACTGCAGGTGCACCTTGCCAAGAGCAGAACAGAGAAGGAGAGAAGCAGAGAACAGAGGGGGGGGGGGAAATCCAAGTCACGTCCCAG